TTTACAACTTTTGCCATGAATCACCATGATTGTTATATGAATCACAGGGTCATTAAGCAAATTCAGTTTTGGAAGACATCTGAAAAAGTCACAAATGGCGATCATGTGACTTCAGGACACTGCAATAGTTGGAAACACATGTCAGTTGCCAAGCATCTGAGTTTATATAACTTGCCCATAAGGATGCTGTGACAATCTGGTCATGTCATTTTTTTCAGCACCATTGTAACTTTTAATGGTCGCTAAATGAAAGATTGTAAGTTGAGGACTACCTGTGATAGCTCATTAGCCATCCACTGGATTAATTTGAAAATAAAGCCATACAAAATGATTATGAATGAAACAAAATATACATAAGCTTGGTTATAGTACCCAAGACTATCATGATGATGCTTTGATGTGCTTAGGACTACATATCCAGACAGTCCTTGTTTAGGAACCACAACTGGGACTTGCTACTTGGTCATTAAGAGAAACAGTGACTGTTAGAATGTGCAGAGATGAATAGATTAACACTGGCAATTAAAGAAAAAGAAGAAACTGAATAATATATGATATGGGATCTATTTTTTAAAAAAAACAAATTTTATTGATTTTCAAAGAGAGTACACAAACAAAACATAAGACATAAGAACATAAAACATCCTTTCTAACAACTACTTAACAAAACAAATAAGACATCTCATTTAAGTACAATATAGTTCTAAATTATCATGTTTCCACACACAATTTAATATGCATCTTATATATTCAACTTCGTATCTTATTACTGTTTTCCACCTTCTTACTGTTTCTTCCTTTATTTCTGTTCAATTTTATTCATTAGACTAATACTTTCATATATTTCATATTACTATATTTCATATTATTACTATTTCATATGTTCTTATCCAACATCATTACTCCTCAATAGACAAACATAGACTAAAAAAACACATAACATAAAAACATAAAACTTCTTTTTAGAAAGCGGCTTAACCCCGGGTTATAACTTTTTGTACAGACGTAAATCAAATTCATGCTCAGCTTATATACTATTTCATATCTTATTAAAATTCTACATTTTGCATATATCTTCTCCCCTCTTTTCACTCTCTTAATTCTATTTTATTTATTTAATCTCAATTTAAATCATTACACTTGTATCTTTTGTCCCTTCTTTTTCAATTATCTATTTATCTTTCTCTTTAACACAAACTTTTTCCTGTAATGACTGGTTAAAGTATGATACCTTTCTATTTCCCCCCCAAATTTAACACTTAAAATTAGACATAGTTTCTATTCTGATTCTGCTTAGTACATTCTACATAAAATTTTAAAATATAAGACATAATAATCTTATAGTATATTAAAAATAGTGTTCCATAGCAAATTAGTTAATTAAACATTAATTACACAATCCCTACAGTATTCTATTAACAGATATTTCAAATACAAATACTAAAATACAATCTTGTGTACTTTTGCAGAATCTCTCTTTAGATTATATTTTACCCTTTATCTCTGAAAAAAAATTGTTTATTAACATCTTGTTTTAAGCCTTTATAACTTCCCTCCGCTTTATCCCTTCCTTCCTTATCAAAGCTAACCTTTTTGCCCCCCCCCTTGATCTCCAGCTTTTTAGTCTCCCCTCTCTGTTGTATTCCTCCCTTCTGTTGCTTTCTATCATTATATCGATTCTTCACCTTACTTTTCCCTTTCTTGATTGTTTTTTTAGAACTTAAATTCTTCATTTTCTTCTCCTTTTTACCCTTTTTTAAAATCATATGTCCATTAAAGATGGCTTCTTCTTCATCATCCCAGCCTTTTTCTTGTTGCATTTCCTGGTAAGCAGAAATCGCCATTTCTAAAAAGCAAAAGATAGATCCAAAAGAGCCCTTGCCTTCCTCTTCCTCCTCTCTTAGTCTTTAAAATTGCATTTTCAGTTCTTCAACAGGTACCATTGTAAAAAAAAAAATTTTTTTTTTTAGACAATCCAAATGTTTTCTTAGTCTTTCAAAAGATAGTTAAGGTCCCAAAGTCATCAAGCAATCAGTCAGCACAGTCTGTTTCACTTTCTTCTACTTTCTCTTCCTGGGGCAACATTCAATTACACAATTCCAAGGCATTTTTTGGAAGTTTTATTGCGATTTAATCTCTAATCTTATAAAACTCCAAGCAGTCTCCTTCAACAAGGTTTGACAGGCTTCGGAGGCAGCAGGAATTCGCGTTTGTGCGTGATTCCTGCTGCGCTCGCTGCTGGAGTGCCTTCGATCCAATTGGATTAGGAGGCTATAGTTATCCTGTAGGGATAGCTGAAGAGAGGGGGGATCTGGGCAGGGGTCGGGAGATATCGCACCCCCCCCTTCCCAGCCAGCTTAACTCCCTTTTCCAAAGGTGATGGAGCGATGGTCAGCAATGGCCGTCACAAAGAACCTCTCAACCGGACAAGTTATGTGCTGGAGGAAGTGAAGACAGAGAAAGCTTTTGGCTGAACCGGGACGACAATTAACATCTGAATACCCTGGAACTTTGGCTTTTTAAGTGATATATTGTTTCCCAGAGGATCGTTAAGCTGCAGTGGAAAGTAAAGGGAAAGTTTTTTCTCTCCTCACTTTCCTTCCCACGGAGACAGCAGATGGAAATCGGAAATACCCGCCTTGGCAGCAGAAGGTATTAACTCTCAAAATTGAAGGCAAGGGGACATTAGATTTCTAAACACTGATATTTAAAAATTTTAATCTTTTTGCTTTAAGTGGGAAGGAAGAGAGGTAAATGGTTTATACTAATGTTTGATATGGGATCTATTTTATCAATGATTGGAAAATAAAGTACAAAGTTAAAATGAAGTAGATGAATATATAGAGAAATATTATTATAAAGATAAAATATGTAACCGATAACTGCTTAAAAAGAGAATGTGATTACTGTTATATTGGCAAGGAAAGTATGTTAATTATAATATACCCAGTTGACACTGTTTAAATGAAAGATGGATTTGTTGTAAATACAAAATAAAAAACTTGAGAGAGAAACAATGACAGTGCTGATGATGTTGCTTCAGCTTTACTGTGCTTTTCAAATATGTGCGGGTAATAAATGTAAGACTGGTCTTAAGGTTACTGTTTCATTACCACCATAACTGTGACACTTGCTAAGACAGGTCAGTCAGTCCTCCAGCGTAAACCAGAAGGAAACATGTCTAGACAAACTACTTATAGTTTATTGTAAAGCTATGTTAACAGAACCTTGCAATTCTGAAAGTACAAATCTCCTTACTGTTTTTATTTTTTTAAAGAGAGTTAGATCAATTTAGGGTAGGTCCTTCCTTAGTTTCTTTCTCTGGCCATTAAGCAGCTTTTATATGATACCACTTTTGACAGCTTCCCCCCCACTTTTCCCTCAAAGTCATTCCCACATACTATTACAACCTGAAATACAAGGGGGAAAATGCTGAAATAAAAGATCACTCTTATTGTATAAGAGCCAATTTGGTATAGAGGTAAAGGTGTTGGCCTAGGAGTCCTGCCTTAGGTATGAAAGCCAACTGTGTGACTCACTCTCTCTGTCTACTCACTCTGTCAGCCTTCTCACTTCACAGGGTTGCTGTTGTGGGAAAAATAGGAGGGAAGTATTAGGTGAGCTTGCTGGCCTTGATCTCAACTTTCATTTAGCTAAAAAAAATGGGCAGTCAACTGGACCTATAACAATCCTCTGACAAAACAAACAAAAGAGAACTTAGCACTGGAGTTGCCAGGTTCCGTGTAAAAAGCAATTACTTCTTTTTTCAATGAAAGGGGTATAATTCTTGCTATTACAACAGATTAAGAAATTCCCCAGGTGTGCCTTAAGAGAAGCAAGAAGTTAAACCAGTTATCTCCTGAACCTAACAGTTTGTATGAACTGGTGCCAGGTTTCTAGACATCATTTTTAAAAAGTCTGAAAGGTACAGCTAGCATTTGCTTCCACGCACAAATGCTAATTTCTTATTTTCAGGGAAACAGCAGCCTTGCTCAGTAATTTGCTTTTTTTAAATATTCTCATTATCTTTCATTCTTCTAGTTAAAAAAAAAGTGCCACACTTATCCAAAAATGCTATGTATGTATGAATTCATCCATATGTAGCTTGGCTGTTCTCAGGCAACAATCTAATCTTTGTACAACATCTTCAGATACTCAAAGAAATCACCTTCACATTGCACCTTTTGTTTGTGTAAAACCTTTCTGTATTGTTCAACCTAGCATGGCCCAACAGATAACTGTGTCACAAGTAGATATAACTTTATTGTGAATAATGTTCTACAATACAGGTAGTCCTTGACTTATAACTACAATTGAATTAAAAATTTCCATTGCTAAGCAAGACAGTTGAGTTTTGTCTCATTTTACTTTTCTTGCCACAAAGTGAATCCCTGCCATTAAGTTAGTAACCCAGTTGTTAAGTGAATCTGGCTTCCCCATTGACTTTGCTTGTCAGAAGATCGCAAAAGGTTATCACAATGCCAGGACCTTGCAACATGCCAGTTTCCAAATTTCTGGATTTTGATCACATGGCCATGGGGATGTTGCAAGGGTCATAAGCGTGGAAAACATTCATACGCCACTTTTTTCAATGCTGTTGTAACTTTGAACAGTCACTAAATGAATGGTTGTAAGTCAAAGATTACCTGTAAAAGGAACTATCCTGAAAGTAATGATTTTAGTATTTTGGCTTAAGAACTTGCAGAGAATTTCAAATGCTATATATCTCACAGTCGAACCAAGAAGGAACATCACAATAGGATTTATATGCATACATTTAAATACGTATTAAGCAATATAACCACAATTAGTTTTGGTTTTTTAAAAATGGATAAAAACAGGAGTATACTTCTACCTTTGTACAGCAATGGCTATAACCCAATAAATCTTTTGCTGTAAAACTGCTTCCTTGATGAATAGTGACAAGGAAGTACAGGACTAAAAAAGAAAAATGTGATATGGATTACATTTTCTCACAATACTCAAATGTCTAGTCTTTAGAAGCTGTAGATTTTGCAATAACTCCCTTAGGACTTTTTCTCATTTTCAAACATCCCAGCTGTCCTCCCCAAATTTGTTCTTTTAATGCCAAAGCTATGAGATGAGAAATTATTGGGATACAATGAGATATTTTGCATGGAATGTCCTATTGCTGACTGCAAGAGAAGCCAAATAAAAAGATGTAATATAGCAACGTCTCTTCATACACTGGATTCTGTCTCTCAACTTTTGCATTTCAAGAAGTCTTTCAATGTGCTATCAAAGAGACTTCCGCTCTCTTATTGCTTGGCTGGTTTAAGTTGTGCCTGGGAGTTCTGCAGCAAGGCCAGTGTGTCACGCTTCTCAATGCGCCGCAAATGTTTCTTCTTTGCACGCTTCAGTTTTAAGGGATTTCGAATCTAAAAAAGAAAGGAGAAATATGGTCTCATCTCATGCTCATCTAAGACTTAAAAATTTTCTGAATAACGATCAACCACACTAGAGGCTTCCAGAATGTTATTGCTATTGGTTTACAAAATTCCCACAACAGAACCAAATACAAATTTTCCATAGAAAACACCTTTTTTCCACAGAAAGGAATGAATATTAAATCTTTTCCAAGGTGCTTACATCTAAAAAAGCAACAGATTAATCTCTACACATGCAAAAGGAAGACAAAGAAAATGTAGAAGTAGGATTGGCACATGCCTGCACCATCACAAGCAAGCTCCGTCATTTTGTCATCTGGCAACAGATACTCCATTTGTCAACAGTAAATGGAACAAGAAAGGGAGCCCAACATTTTCACACTTTTTCTTTTCCTGAAGTATTCTGTACCCCCAAACAGCTACTATAAGACCTTGTAAATAAAAAAACATATTTCTTCTTTCTTTGCTTTTAACTTTTTATGCAGAAAGCAGAGAAAAATCATTTAAATATATACGACTCTTAATAAAAACTAAAATATTTACAATCACATTCATATGGTATCAACCTGCTTATGACAACCTGCCTATGGGGTTAAGGGGGCAATGCATTAACCCCTGGTTGTATTTTTTATTGTACTTTTCAGGATGTGATTTTTTCAAGAGGGGACGCCTGTCAGCTTTGGAAGCCATATTGAGACCAGATGCTACCACATTTTGAGCCTGGGGAAGGGGGAATTTCTTGGAGTGTATGTAGTTAGACATAACATTCTTCTTCTAATTCAAGGTCATGTTATTTTGCACGTAAGTGAGAAGAAGTCTTAAGTTGGGACGGATGGTGATTGAGGCATGTGATGTGATGTAATGATGGGTGCAGGGGATGGATTTGTAGTTTTTACTTATTGCAAGGAAGCCAGGAACTTTCAGATTCGGTATTCCCCAGTTGTGTCAGTTACTATCCTAATAAAAGGAACTTTTGAGAAGATGTCTGTCTCAGAGTTATTGGTTGGAGTGGAGGTTTGCTGGAACACTGACACTTGTACTGCTATATGATTTCCCATCTTTGTATGCCTCTGACTTTTTCTATGCTGCAAAGTTCATAGTTATGATCTCCCAATAGTATGGAACTCTGAATAATCTTGGTAGTAAAGTATTAACAATGAAACATAGCTATCAGCTTGGACTCTGGAACTAGCTTTCACTTGGACCAGCGCCTAGATAATTGAAAGAAAAGGCCAGGTGAACTCCAGTGACACACTATCATTACCAATTCAATTCAAGAAGCACATGTTCTCTATAATGCAGGTGTCTCCAACCTTGGCAACTTTAAGACTTGTGGACTTCAACTTATTCTGGGAGTTGAAGTCCACAAGTCTTAAAGTTGCCAAGGTTGGAGACACCTGCTATAATGGATCTTATCAAATGCCTTGAAGCCCCCTTATTCATGGCTTGATCCCTAGCATGCATCTCTCATGTTGGCTCTTTTTCAAAAGGAATCTCTGTGGCAGAAATGTAGGAACTTGGTTCAAGCACATTTACATGCAAAGCTAGCAAGTCATGTTTTCCACTTGAACTCAGGCTAGGGACGAATCTATCCCCAGGATCCTATTCACCTTCCTAATACTTCAGGCTGGGAGGGAGAGAGGCGAAGGCTTCAATCATGGCTGCCAAAAACCAGCAGCACACCAATATCTTGACCCTAAATCAGAAAATCTATTTACATCTTGCTTAAAAGTCTGTGCTGACCAATTGGCCTCCATCTTCACCCGAATCTTCAATAGATCATTAGAGATGTTCTATGTTCCTTCCTGCTTCAAATGCTCTACTAGCATCCCAGTGCCAAAGAAGCCCTCCATCAAGGAACTGAATGACTACAGAGCAGTTGCTCTAACATCTGTAGTTATGAAAATCTTTGAAAGGCTTGTGCTGTCTCACATGAAAACCATCACGGATCTGCTATTAGATCCCATGCAGTTTGTATACCGAACAAATAGATCAACAGATGATGCTGTTAACATGGCTCTGCATTACATCCTACAATACCTTGAATCTTCTAATACCTACACAAGGGTCCTCTTTGTAGACTTCAGTTCAGTATTCAATACCATCATTCCAGACACTCTTTTAAGTAAATTAAACCAACTAGTGGTACCTGAACACACTATAAGTGGATCATAAGCTTCCTAACAGAAAGGAAGCAGCAGGTGAAGCTGGGCAGAATCACATCAGATACCTGTACAATTAGCACAGCCCCCCAAGGCTGTGTGCTTTCTCCACTTCTCTTCTCTCTATATACCAATGACTGCATCTCAAATGATCCATCTGTTAAAATACTGAAATTTGCTGATGATACAACAGTGATTGGTCTCATTCAAGACAACGACGAATCCGCATACAGATAGGAGGTTATACAACTTGCCTCGTGGTGTAACCAGAACAATCTGGAACTGAACACATTCAAATCCGTAGAAATGGTGGTAGACTTTCGAAGAAACCCTTCCATACTACCACCTCTTACAATACCAGATAACACCATATCAACAGTAGAGACCTTAAAATTTCTAGGTTCTACTATATCACATGACCTAAAATGGACACCAACATCAAAAACGTCATCAAAAAAGCACAACAAAGAATGTTCTTTCTGCATCAACTCAGAAAGCTCAAACTGCCCAAGGAGGTGCTGATCCAGTTCTACAGAGGAATCATTGAGTCCGTCATCTGCACCTCTATAACTGTCTGGTTTGGTTCTGCAACCCAACAGGATAGACCCAGACTTCAGAGAGTAATTAGGACTGCAGAAAAAACAATTACTACCAACCTGCCTTCAATCAAGGACCTGTATACTGCACGAGTCAAAGAGGGCTGTGAAAATATTTACAGACCCTTCACATCCCGGACATAAACTGTTTCAACTTCTTCCCTCAAAACAACGCTATAGAGCATTGCACACCAGAACATCTAGAGACAAAAACAGTTTTCCCCCCGAAAGCCACCACTCTGCTAAAGAAATAATTCCCTCAACCCTGTTCAACTATTATAAAGTCTGCACTATTACTGTTAAATCTTGTAATCACTCCTTATCACCTATCCCCTCCCACTTGTGACTGTATGACTGTAACTTTGTCGCTTGTATACTTACAATTTATATTGACTGTTTCCTAGTATGATTGATTGCTTATTGTACCCTATGACTATCATTAAGTGTCGTATCTTATGATTCTTGACTCCTGACGAATGTATCTTTTATGTATACTGAGAGTATTTACACCAAGACAAATTCCTTGTGTGTCCAATCACACTTGGCCAATAAAGTATTCTATTCTATTACATTCAACTATTGTATAATTTTACTTTTTTGGGATTGTCAGCGCCTTTGTACTGAGGCCCTTGTGTTCTCCTTCCACAAGAAAAATTAAATGCAGTTCCATTTCACCAAAGGATTTCCCATTTGAGGCAACAGAGTGATATTAAATTTGTGCAGTTACTGGATCAATAATTCAGCCTCCAATTCTCAAAATGCTCTTTAATGGCAATGAAAAAGCATAACTTATTATATGTTGCTGTTGACCCGAACCTATTATAATGTGCTACCAAGTTAAGTAAAACATTAATTATGAAACACAATCCACTCTTCTTCAACCAAGGAAGGATATTTTCTTTCTAAATGAAAATAACTTGATCCCAAACTCACCACTTGCACAACCTCCGCTTTCCTCTCATTTTGTAGTCTTCTTTTTAAGTTATCCCTCCTTCGCTGTTTTTTCTCCTGAAAGGAAGAGGCTTTTATGCATGCTATCTTATATGTCACAGTCCAGCAAAAAAATTTGACTAAATAATTCCATAAATATACAAGAGTACAAATACTGACAAAAAAAGCATATGCAAACAGATTTATGAACCAAAAAACTGACTTTATTAATAACTCTCAAAAATAAGTAGCAAAGTATGTAACTCAGAAGAACACTTTATTGAGTTGTTTATCACTTTAAAAGTTTTCGCTCATCAAACTTTTCCAGACTTGTAAGCTGAAATAAAAGTTACCATTTTATGAGGTCCTCAGAAGTTTCTTTTAAGCAGAACATGATGTGACTATAGAATCTATGAGTTGACAGCTTCACTAAAATGAACAGAATATCTGTGGGATTTACATAAGATAAAAGCAGTTCAAACCAGCAACAATTTTTGAATAAAGCATTTGTAAATTGGCTCTAATTATTTTATTTGAATTGACTGAATTGGGGGAGGGGTGTTTTTTCACACTGGTACAAAGCAGCAACATGAGTAGCAGCAATATCAAATACAAAAATTGTGGCACAACATCTAATGCAAGTGTTGTCATTTGCCTATCTTTTCCCCATGGGTGGCCATGTTGTATATTATGTCATTTTTTGTTTATAACCTAAATAAAACAAGCATCAAGCTCTGGATCTTCATTCAATCTTTCTTAATATATAAGTAGGATCTTCACGAAGCTCTATTAACATTCAACAGCAAAGATATGCAGAAATTCATATTCTGCTTTACAAAATAGTAGCACCAGCAAAGTTATGCATGTATGCCTGAATAAAAGGATAGCAATCCTATTTTAAACTTTCAATAAAATAAATAACCTTTTAGATGCAAAATTCAAAATAGCTACAACATATCATTCTGCAGGCCAAAAATATATCCTATATCTAATCCATATGCCTTTGTGAATTCTGTTCTGCCTTTGGGAATTCTGTTCACAATTCTTGTGCAGTTATTAGAACAGAAAGTGTGAGTTCAACAGACTTAGCACTAGTCTTTTCTTGCTAATTCAGTCCATAACTTAATTAGAGTGACAAAAAATACCAATGAAGTTGGTGTCTGGCAGAGATGCTTAGGGATACATTATAGTTACTTAATAATAATATGGACACATTGCTTCCAGACATTTGAGACAAACATATTTTACTTACCTCACGCTCCCTTTGTTTTTGTTCCTTCAGCTCCTGGGCAAAATCTTTAATCAACTTCTTTTCCTGACGTATTTTCATTTTATGTTGCCAGGAAGTATGTAAAGGCTTATCCTGGATCATGTGGGAAAACCTGGGGAGATGGCAAAAATTACATTATCAGTTACAAATAAGAGTTTAGTTTCAGCTCTAGATGGTATCACCTTATACAAGACAGCCATAGTTTGCCTTAATAAAGCCTTACAGAATAACTAATAGTCAAATTGGTGCAATACACTGAGCCATAAATTGCAATTAGACCAAACAATCTTAGTAACATTTAGCATATTATGTGAAGCAGATCTAGGATAAGAATCCTGCACACTTTTACTTGGCAAGGAGTTCCAATGAAACAAAAGCCTATTTTTGCAGATCAAAAACATTACCCTAACAAGTAAGAATGACATTAAAAGCATACTATGATTTTATTTCATGTGTGGCACCAAAGGTTGGTTATTTAATACAAACCCTCTAAAATTTACACTCAACTTGAACTGAGGATGAATATTAACATTTAATCTTTTTTGGGGTAACATTTTACTGTGCACACTAGGTAGGCATGAAGTGCATAAAATAAACTCTGTCTAGGAGAACTAACCAATACGCAGTATTTCTAACAAAGCGGTATAAAATACACATAAACGGCAGCCCATTTCTCTTGAACTCAAAGCAGCTTTAAGATAGACTTCAACTCCCAGAATTCGTGCTGGGAATTTCTGGGAGTTGGAAGTCCTTATATCCTAAAAGTTGTTGACGTGGAGAAAACTGCTCTCCAAGATGCTGCGTCCGATCATCTGGCGACCAAGATCGCATTCTTACCGCTTTTTGCCGGGGTCTTTCCATACTCGCCCAGATTTAGGCTTTCCTTTGTGGATAGACGCTGCCTCCTTCCGCTTCTTACCCAAAGCAGCTATTTGCAGCTTTCCGGATCCAGCTTCCACTAAGGCGACAGCCCCTTCCTCGTTCCCCAACTGTTGAAGTTGCTCACCCCGTTCCAGGTCTGGAGACAGTCGATCGGCTTGCAGCAGCTCCTCGGGGATAAGCGCCGCCATTTCCTTCCTTTTTGTCTCTTCACTACACAGTCCCAGCTAACAAACACGTTCTCTCTCTCTCCCTCTCCCAACCTCCTCTCCTACCCCACGAGGAAGACTCCAGTAGGGCCCTTTCGGATGACGTCCCATATGCGACGCGCGCTGATGCGCAAAACTACGAGCTAGATAACATTCTTTGCTGCAGCCTTCCGCGAATGCACTATTCATTGGAAGTTACGTAAGCTAGAGCGGTTCCTTGGCTAGAAAGCGGGTAAGTTTCACTTGTTCTTGAATACAACTTCCGGTATCCGCTGCTTTTAGTGGAATCCATATGCGGGGCAAGAGTGGTAAAGATTCAGTGCAATCGTCTTCGCTATGTAATACCCTGTAAATATTTTGGGAACAGTATGGCCAGAATTCCGACGTGCATGTTTGCTGGGCATTCTGGGTTTTGTAGTATGAAGTACTAAACAGCTGGAAAGCGTTTAGGTGTGGAAGAAGATCCATTAAAATATCATTAAAAATACCACTGGCATTTTTTGGCTGTTAGAAGAATATATATTTTAATGGGCATTAATATAACCTTTTGTTATTTTATAGTATATTTAGTATATTTTATTTATTTTCATTTGACTGAAGTCTAAACTTAAAGCACTTACATTTTTCTTACTTGGTTCCTAATTACTAACTGAATTAGGAAAATAGTTACAATTTTTTGTTTATTTGATCAACTCTTAAACCAATAATATCTAGTCATCCCTGAGCCTCCTACTTCTGTTTCTTGGCTGTGGAAGAAACATTATAAGCATATTAAAGAATTACGGTCTCAACCATAATTACTGTTGCATTTATATATATTTATATAATATATGCAAAACACTTTGAATAACAATGCTATAAAAGTCTAAGAAAAGACAATTCCTGTAGCCTTGGCAAGCTAGTTCAAACTTAAAAGTTAAAATTTGAGCTAATTCATTTATTGAAAAGAACAACTGGATATACAATTCCTTATCTGTTTTTAATATGAAATTTGTCTCTGAACCCATTGGATTTTGTTTGAAAAAGCAAAAAATGTAAATTTATTTTGAAAATTTGCCCAATCTGATCAAGTACTGTATGAGACAGATCCTGTTTCTGTATCATATATAAGAAATGTATCTATGAACTTATGAAAAGAAAATGATTTTGACATTTTGATATTCTCAATATTTCAAATGCTCAGTGCTTAAAAATAGCAGAGAGACTAATATGTCACAGAGTAATAAACTGATAATTGTATAACTTTCTATGGATCAATGGTCTACATTATGAGATGCATGCATTTGTTGTGTTGTTACATATTATGTCTAATTCTCTGGAATAAAGTTATTAAGATAACTAGAAGTATCTTTTAATTTATTTTTAATTTTTAACCTATCTATTTATATCTGTTAGGTATAACATAGGTCACCTAACGTAGTTTGGGTAAAATAATATATATAAGCTATGAATGTTAGTTTAAGTGTGTGTCACTTTAACTGCAAAGCATGTAATTTTGGGTGTGGTGTGAAACCACCATAAGAGGCAGCAAGACAACCTGATTGATTGCTGACGAGACGCTGACGGTTTGCTGGCAATTACTGACAATTACTGGATTGGATTACGTTGATGGTTTGTTAGCTGCGTCTTTTCCCCTACTGAAGAGTTGCTGAAGGAAGAGAGGAGTTTGTGAGTTCTGCATATCTCTCTACTGCGAGGAGATATATCACCGGACTGATATTTGTAAGTGTACTGACCTCTTTTTTTCGACACTGGAATTTGCAACTGAATAATCCCTGGACGGACTGAACTAAGTGAATGATATATGGACTGTTTTGACTATGCTTTAACTCTTGCTGGAATAAAACTATTTAATTAGCACTGTGCCTCTGGTTTACTGAGTGTAAGCTACAAAAACACTTATCTCACATATTTTGCCTGCCTGCCTGACTGCCCTGCAGATCTTGCTAGGGGTGTATCCCTAACAATATCAATCTAAAGTTGTCTTATATATTAAAAATAGAATATAAAATAATGCAATCAAAATAAAAAGCTAAAACTAAATTCTGTATCATTACCATTTCCTTGAGAACCTTTAATCATGCTTCTGGCAAAGAGAATTTTCATTTATTTAAGTAACCAGCTAATAACCTCGGATTGCCTGGGTATTTATTTATCCCAATCCTGTGTTAGACAGGAAAATCCTAGTCAGGACTCACGCTGTTGCACTGTCTGTGACTCTAGATGTAGTAGCTCTCTCGCCCAGCAACTTCACTGTGCTGTACAGCAGAAGCCATTTTAACACACACACACACACACCCCGGGTGTTAGAAGTGTCTTACCCCCATAGTATTTTTTTCCAGAGGGTAAGTCATCTGTCTACATTTGGTTGAAATTGTTTGAAGTGTTCCAGAGTTATGCTGGAACACACACACACACACACACACACGTATGGTATTCAGCTTTGTTCGGGTATTTTCCCACGTCATTATAGTTGTGCTTTTAAAGTTGCAGCAACATGTCGGCAGAATCTCATCTGCCATCAGGCTTTTGCCGAAACTTTGCTACAACTTTAAAAGCACAACTATAATGAAATGGGAAAATACCCGAACAAAGCTGAATACCATACATGTAAGTACCCACAAAAACTTAAGAAAATATATACATACATACATACATACATACATGGTATTCAGCTTTGTTTGGGTATTTTCCCACATCATTATAGTTGTGCTTTTAAAGTTGTAGCAATATTTCGGCAGAATCTCATCTGCCATCATCAGGCTTCTGTATAGTGTTCGTCTGTATATATACATATATACACAGTATGTTACAGTAGTTGAGATGTATTGTAACAAAGCTAAGTAAAACAGAGTCAAGAAGAGTTAGATGATGCACTGTCTATAATTATATAAACATGCACAATGTCACTATGAGCATGATATGCTCTTTGATGTCACTATGACCTCTAAATTCAGTGTCAGTGATTGAGAACCTTTAATCATGCTCTGGCAAAGGAAATCTTCAGAAATGTGTTTCTCATTTGTTTAAGTAATTGGTCAGATTAATTAACAGGAGAGGCAATTGCCTGAATAATGTGCCATTGAAGAGTACTGGGCCTAAGATGGAACCTTGTGATACTCCACTGCTTACTTTCTTCCAGATGTACCACAGTATCATTAAGACCTACTCAAAGAGTACAGTTTGTCAGCCAGTTACAACTCCATCTGGTGGTGAAGGTATCTGTCCCACATTTTTCAAGCTTACCAAGAAGTAGGTTGTAGTCTACTTTGTTGAATGCCTTACTGAAATCTAAGTATACCATATTCACAGCATTTTGCTTGCCCACTAATTTAGTCACTTGGTCAAAGAATGAAATAAGATTGGTTCAGCATGATGAGTTTTTAACAAACCCATTCTGGCTTCTAGTCATAACTTTGTTTCTAAATGTTCACAGACCTGTTTTTTTATTATCCTTCCCAGTATCTTCCTAAGTATTGATGTTAGGCTGATTGGTTTGTAATTTCCAAGGTCTGTATTTTTCCTTTTTTTGGAGATGAGAACCACATCAGCTGTTTTACAATCCTCAGGTAGTTCCTTGGTGCTCCTGGATTTTTGAAAGATATAATGGATCTGAGGTAACATCTGCCAGCTGCTTCAGAATTCTGGGATGTTTTGTCAGGTCCTGGTGATTTGTATTCATCAAGATCAGACAGGTGTTCTCTTAGCATTTTCTTGCTTATTTTAATTTTTAGCCTGTCTTTTATGGTTATATTTTTGATAGGTTGGGCTATAGTTTCTTTTTGTGTGAAGACTGATGCAAAGAATGAGCTAAGCAACTCTGCTTTCTCTCTACTATTTGTTACTTCTTTGCTATCTTCTCTCTTTACTGGACTGACTGTTTCCTTGATTGCTTCCTTGTTATTTATATGTTGAAAGAAACTTTTTTAAAATTATCTTTGACTTTTGTTAAAAGTCTTTGTTCATTCTGAACCTTTGCTTTCCTTACTTCATCTTTGCAGATTCAAGCTATCTGCTGTTATTCTGCCTTAATTATGTGTCCTGGTTTCCATTAATATAAATTAATGATTGAGTTAACATAAGGTGTCTGTCTCATCCCATTAAAGCTAATTTAATGGGTACCAATTGAACTTTTGGGGTAGGGAAGCAGCAAGTTTCTCCAACATGCTGAATTCGTTCATAAGGTATTAAAATAGTATAGTGGACAAGACAGAACTCTGAAGCACTATGGATCAATCATCTAGGTCAGCGGTCACCAACCTTTGCAGCTTGGTGGTCCGGCTGAGGGGGAGGGAACTGGGCCAAGTGAGTGGAAGGCCAGCGCGCATGCAGTTTGACTTGTGGAAGCAGTGGGCTGGAGCACAGGTGCATGTGCACACAGCTTGATTTGTGCATGTTGAGCTGTGTGAGCATGTGCATGCATGCCAGACCACTGCTTGTGGAAATTGAGCTGCATGTGAATATGCGCTAGCCTGCCACTCACACAACCTGGTTTCAATAGGCCACAGTAGTGGGCCGTGGCCCGGGGGTTGGAGACCCCTGACCTAGGTGTCAAACAATATTACCTTCTGGTACCTCTTGATAGGGAGGATTTGGAACTTCTGCAAAGCCTGGCAGAAAACCTAGAACGTTACCATGATTAATAGTCTCAAATGTTGCTAAAAGATTCATGAGAACGATTAATGAAGTACTGATATTAGAAAGAACAAGTAGTTTCCCACATATAATTTCCATTGTAGGTCATTCACAAGATCAAAGCAGTTTCAGGAACATACTCTAATTTGCTCTGAAAATCAGCTTCATTCAAATGCATCTGGAACTTTGGGGCTCCCACAGTTTCAATTATCCTACCCAAGAATAGAATGTTTAAAATTGATCTATAATTATTATCAGAAAATCTTCCCTTTTTCACATATTTTTGTATTCTTATAGCTACCTCTTTTGAGCAGCCAGGCACACGTTCCACATTCTGAGACATTGGTTGCCTGGCTTAATCATGGTGCCTGAACTAGAGTGGCCAATTAAGAAGGAAAAGGGGTAAGCAAAATGATGAGTTTACCTACCTATCTATAACCTCTCAATGTCCTCAAAAGCTGGAAGCTATATGAACTGGGCAAGCAGTTGTCAGAGCAATCTGTGATCTGGAATCCAAGTTGAGATAAATCCAATTGATTTAGCTTGCAAATAAAGATGAAAATTGCTTACAATTAGCCTCTGAAAGTTCTACCTCTTTTCCCCTTACATCTTGCTGGAGGGAGATGCTGTGCAATGTGAAAAAAAAACCAGTGGCCTATTAGTCTAGATTACCGTATGTAGCATGTACAGAGCATCTGCTAGGAATATCTTAAAACAAGTGTCTTTTCCGTTGGGTCTTGCTGCTGCCATCCATAACTGATACACAAACCTGGGAAAAGATTATTTAATTTACACTATTCCCAGCAAGTGCTACAAATGCAGGCACACATTCCATAAATCATGTTTTCCTTTCAGAGCTGGATATTTACATAATCCTAATAAGAGACTAGAAAATTGACTTACATTAAGTACAAGAAATATTTCCGATAATTATACAAATATTAACATACATTCTGCAAAGTAATACTAATGCAACTGTTAATAGTTATTTCAATGCAAATATCAACGTGAACATGACAAGTCATATTTACATCGTTTAGAAATCTAAAGGCACTTGTTTCACTTTTTTCCATTACAAGAAGCACCTTTTTCAATATTTTTAAAAAAACAGTAGAAATGGAAGTACTCACAATGTTTGCACAAGCACTACATGCAGCTATACAGTCACTCTGAGATCTGTCTTATTACGAAAGAAATAAACTCCCTAAAATTCATGATTTTGAGTTGAAGCACAGATTACTTGGTGAAATGGTTCTTTGTTTCATAGCTTTACAAATAAAGGTTTGCATCAAAGTGCTTGCAATAGATGTCATGAAATCTAGGAGGGAAAGGATGCAATCCAGAGATGTTAAGAGACAACTCAGTCCAAATATTACGTTGAGAGAAAGAGGGTAAAAACAGCCCTTCTCTAAAATTGTTCACATAGCATATGGTAGATGCAAATAGTAGTGTCCTCAATCTGGCAAGATTCTATCAATAAGTATGAAATAATAAAGAATTCAGTTTGAAAGGATCACCACGTCATTCTTAGTTTTGGGCCTGGTATCACCTCTGTATTTATCATCTGTGAAATTTAATCATGGGCGGGCACTTCTAAGAAGCAGAGTGGGCACAAAAGTTTCTCTAAAACAGATAAATTAAAAAGTAAGCATTTCATATGGAAATAGTTTGTGAAGGCAAAATAACCAAGACCTTGTGAAACAGCAGAAAAATTGATCTGATAAAAGTAGAAATTATAATCTGAGTGGATAAATTGGATCTATGGACCATTTAATGTGTTCATTAGAATTAAATGCTAAGCTTTTGCTACAGAAAGCGGAGGTAAATGGCATATAATGGACCAAGGTAAGTGTTTAGGCTATTCTTTTTCTGCTGAATGCACAAACCAGCCAATAACCCTTTGTTTTCTTTTGCTTCAGAAATAATTCTGTATCATATCACAATGTGATCAGGGTTTAAGAAATTTGGTTCAAGTTCCTGATAGGTTGCTTCTCTGAATGATTCTTCCTTTGGCAGGGGTAGTTTCCTTTTTTCCTAAAGGCAGCACCTCCTGGTAATTAGTTGCTAACATATCTCCCATTCTCTTTTATTACTTTAATAATAAAGTAATAAAATAAAGTAATAAAATAATAAAGTACTCTCTTTTATTACTTTATTTTTGTTGCCCCAGGGTTGAGTTTAACTTTATTTTAATAAAGTTAAACTCAACCCTGGGGCAACAAAAATAAAATAATTTAACAGAACAACTCTCTCTTTGCTTTCAGTACAAATTACCTTTCTGACTCCTAATCAATGCATTTCTTATAGTACAGCCCAGTGCTGATTGGAAACCTTTATGGACTTTTTATGTGAAACAAAAAAAAAAAAAGAAATTATCATACATGGTTTTGATGATTAGAAGATAAAATAATTATAAAAAAATGTAAAGTGTTGTAACTGTAGGGTAAAAGCTTAATGTACATTTATGCTTAGAATTACTATAAAAATAACAATAGCAATAGTACTTAGACTTATATACCACTTCATGGTGCTTTACAATCCTCTCTAAGCATTTTACAGAGTCAGCCTATTGCCCCCAACAATCTGGGTCCTCATTTTACCAACCTCGGAAGGATGGAGGCTGAGTCAACCTTGAGCCTGCCAGAATCAAACTCCTGGAATGAGCAGTGAGTTAGACCTGCAATACTGCATTTGAACCACTGCACCTATAAAATCAGAAATAATTTCTTTATATTTCTTTTCTGCAATTTTTCTGTTTCTTTTCTTATTTCTTTTCTTTCTTCCTTTTTATTCTAAACGTTAGTTCTTGATAGTTTCTGTCATCTTAAAATTTTAATAGTTATGTATAAAAAAGAAAAGTGAAGTTGAAAAAACTCAGAAAGCCTACTAAGAAAAAGCTCTCTCTCGTAAAAAAATACAGAAGAAAATATACAAATTTAAAGGCGATTCCAAATAGATGGCCTCTTATGGTGGGGAAGAGGAAAACACTTTCAAATAATCTGTCTCTTCTTCATGAAGACCCCAAAGAGTTACAAATGGAAGGAAGTGATGGTAGAACCCTTGTATTATAAAATTTAGAACCGCCAGCACACATCACAATTGGTGCTTTTCAGGATATGAACACTGATGAAACTACATAGGATGTTTTATAACACAGGGAATGTGACAGGCCTTGCATTTAGGATAAACTGGTGGCTGCCCTGTATAGAAGAAGCTCATAATAAACAAACACAAAACTTGTTTTCCATTTCTAGGTTGAGGCAGATTTTTGGGATTTAGCAAGGGAAGGTTTACTGGGAAGGTAAAGATTGGAAGCTCACACTCATATTGCTTCAAGCCAGGGAAGCATCTAGAGTAAATATTCAGCATTGTGTGACAGAGAAGAGAAACCACTTGTCTTCATGTTGCCTGAAAAACACACACATACACAAAGATTAATGTAGTATCTGTAAAAGTTTTTAACCACTTAATTGCTCAGGAATAGCAAATTCATTTTTCTGCATAATTCCCAAAATAGCAGAATCAAAATGACTGGAGAACATTTGGGAATCTCTAAATGGTAACAGAAAGAAGTTCAGGATTTGAGAGTCCCCAGAGCCTGAAAATCAGAAGGAAGTTCTGGTGCATCTTTTCCAACTAACATATTTTATTACAAGGCATAAGCTTTCATGAGCTGTGGCTTACTTCGTCATGTGTATAGAGTGATGTGGATTTAATAATATTTGTGAGATATGAAAAACACTATCTGACTTTCCTGGCTTTTTTTGCTGTTATGGATTATACAGAATTCCAACAGAGTTGGAAGGCACTTTGGAGGTCTTCTAATCCAAATCCACTGCTCAAGCAGAAAACCATATACCATTTCAAACAAATGTCTGTCCAACTTCTTCTTAATAACCTCCAGTGTTGGAGTATCTACAACTTCTGGAAGCAGGCTGTTCCACTAATTAATTATTCTCACTGTCAGCAAATTTCTCTTTAGTTTTAGGTTGGATCTCTCGATAACAGAGTTTGTCTAGCTCATTGATTAACTTGGCTCTCCTCCTTTATAGCCCTCAAAGCTTCTGATTTAAGACTACATTTTTGCTACATTAGTAATTCAGACAAAAGTTTGTATCCTCACCATTGGTTGATAGCTCTCTTGCTTTTGAGTCCTGAGTCTACTTATGGCCACGATAGCTATGGATACTTCAAGAAGCACAAAGATGAGGAACACAGAGTTCAGGCCAAAGGACAGAATCTGTGGGCAAAATCACATACAAATGTGCTGGTTACCACCACTCCACCTGACTGTAAATTCTTCTGTTATACAGGTGAAACTTGAAAAATTAGAATATCATGCAAGTTTATTTATTTCAATAATGCAACTTAAAAGGTGAAACTAATATATGAGATAGACTCATTACATGCAAAGCAAGATAGTTCAAGCTGTGATGTGTCATAATTGAGATGATTATGGCTTACAGCTCATGAAAACCCCAAATCCACAATCTCAGAAAATTAGAATATTGTGAAAACGTTCAATATTCTAGGCTCAAAGTGTCCCACTCTAATGCTGTATCAAAGCACATTAATAGAAAGTTATGTGGAAGGGAAAAGTGTGGAAGAAAAAGGTGCACAAACAGCATGGCTTGAACTATCTTGCTTTGCATGTAGTGAGTCTATCTCATATTAGTTTCACCTTTTAAGTTGCATTAGTGAAATAAATGAACTTTTGCATGATATTCTAATTTTTCGAGTTTCACCTGTATAAACCATAGAATTGAAAACATCATCATAGTTGTTTGGAACTATAGGAATTCATATTTCAATGAAGTGAAGAGCAATTAATTAACTTAAAACCCAAATATTACTCAATTATTTAATTTAGTTACACTTGATATAAACTTAGTTTAATCTAACGTATGTTGATAACTTGGAGCTTATTTGCTCTTTTTGTACCACCTCACTCAGGAGTATTGCCTGAGCCGCTCTGAAATGAAAAGGGGGAGTACAGATGAAGATTACAGGAGTCACCTATTGTGATCCTTAGTCAGGAAGTCACAGGGGATGGGCTTCTGCTTGCCCCAGCTTAATCTTTCCCACAAGAGCTTTTTCAGACTTTTGCCTAGGGAACCACCTTGCTTGAAAAGCCAAGATGGGAATGGGACGAAATGTTTTCATTATCCTTATTCTTCCCTTGCAAAAAAGGCAGGTGGTAACATTAGGCTTCTTTGCTTCTTCAGGGTTTTTAGTTTCTCTTTATGTTAGCTTCTTCCTTGTATTTCTAGTTTTCCTATTTTTTTCTGGCTACCAATCTATCGAGAAAATTTTTATGATGAATATGAAGACTGAAAAAGCCGTAATCCATCAGGATGCACGCCCCTCCCTTCAAATGAGATCTTTCCTTTAAGTAGCCACTGAACAGTGCAGGCAGCAAAGAGTTGCACGCCATAGAATGTGCACGGGTTATACTCAATGCTGCATTCAGGGAGATGATAAGCAGGGAAGTGTTGCAAAGAAATAAATCCTAAGATGGGAAGGTTGAATAAATCAAAATTCAAGAAATGATATCATGAGTTTCTCAATCAATATAGAAAGAATACAGTAATTGGATTTAGCCATTATACTCAGAAATAATGTTTGACTGTGAACCCAACCACTGTGAATTGTTAACACTAATTTGTGTCTTAGGATGTATGTGTTTAGTTATTTGCAGTTTACTTATAAAATCATGGTAAATCATTCAAGAAATCATAACTTAATGTAGTATGTTAACTCAGTTGGTGCGTTTGTTTCCAGTTAAAAATACTTGTGTAGCACAATTTAATTATAGTTCTGCAAGAGACACAAAAACAGTACAAAACAAAATAAATCTCATTATAGAGAATAAGGCTTATATCTATACCAAATTTAGACAAGTTGAAGAGTCTTGTAAGGTCTGAATCTTACTATGTCAGAATCATTTCAACTGCTGCTATGTACATATGAAGGAAGGTCAGGAATTTACCTGAGAATAATTTCGGCAGTAATAACTGGGATTTGAGTCACATGGGTTTCCTTCTTTAACAGTTTGTGCAATCTCAATACCATGTAGGATTATTGCAACCAGTCCAACTACACAAAATATCACGTTGACAAAGAAAGCAGATTTCACCTACATCAATATATTAGATAAAGGTTAGTTGTTACACATCCTGTGTAATTCTTAGAAGCATCTGTCTATATACTACTAAAACTCTTGTCATGATCTTTAGCCAGGCAAAATGGTGCATCACAGGGCAACAATTTTTGAACTAAGGTGCCTCAAACGGGCTAATTGACAGAATGAATCCAAAATACAGGACTCATGACTCCCGAATGAAATTTGAGAAAGTTTCGTGGTACTGGCTGCTGCTGTAATGATGGGCTGCTGCTCCAGTCACATGATCTTTATTTTCAACATTCTGTGACAGTTTCCCAGACAGACTTCCAATCCTTTGCTCCCTCCCCTCCCCCTCCCCTGGCAGCAGCCATTTAACTATCTGATGAAATGGGAAAGGGGAAGGAAGAAGAAACCCACCCACACACCTTCCCCAGCCCACCCACCTGTATTTCTCCTGAACTGAGCTTCCCCCCCAACACCTTCCATGACCCACACCATTCTTCTCCCTCCTCCATCTGGCATTCGGCTCTTTTTCTCCTGCATATTGCCTCTTACAAGTTAAAATAGTTAAATGATAGCATGTCAGTAATTCTGATTTCTACTCATAGGAAGAAATTATACCATCCATAAACTCACTGGAGCAACCATAATTTAAAGGTAGAAAACAGTTTTGCTTCAGTTTCAACTAAAACAATGCACAGCAAGTAAGACACAGTTCCCCAAAGTAGGTTGGCACATGATCAAATGTCCAGAGCTGAGTGTAAACTGGTGCTAGCTCTTCATGCAGACATCCCTTTAGTTATCTTTGTCAAGTGTGAGTCTTTTCCCATTTGAGTCCAATTGCAGCAAAAAGGCACCAGTGAATCCGCCCCCCTCCCCTTTTAAAATTGCTTTCAAATAACCTCCATCTCAGATGTGAGGCAGCCTTGAGTTTTCTTTAAGTATATTGGTATTAAAGTAGTGTTCCTTCCCTTAATCCAATGCAGGTTTTCCTGTAGATGCAATCTAACACGTGTCACTAACCATTCTCTTGGTGGCATATTCAGATAATTCCTTGAATTTGCTTAGACACTTTTTACTAGTGTGGGCAAGCATCTTTCCCTCTGTTCTCAGGCACTGTCCTCCAAGATTATTTTGCTTTGGGCTGCAGGATGATCCAGTTCTTTCAAATGGCCTTTCCCCAGTACTTACTAAATCTCTTAAATCAATCCCCATCCCAGAGACCTGAATCAACCCAAACAGGAGTTTGTTAGGGTGGATGGGAGCAGCATGGTGAAGTAGTGAAGCCAGCTGTCTCTTTCATGCTAAGGTGGCTTTAACTGAAGGGAAAAAAAAAACAAAGCCAGACTGATAAATTTGGCAACATACTCACTAGTAGATCAGATTGTTTTTTCTCAACTTCTATTAACAAGGACCCAGTGATCAAGAGCTACAAAAGCAAAGAAAAACAAACAGCAGGTATAAGGGTGAGCTTATTTTATATTGCAGAACCAGTGCTCCTAGAATCAGCCTGTCCCTACTAGGCATTTATTAATTAACTTGATTTACATCCCTCTTCCTTACTCAAGCACTAAGTTCTGAAGGCAACTAAAAGATGAGAAAAAGCCTATTCCAGTTTCCCTTATGGGTAGGCCAAGGCAAGCCAGTTGAATTTGTGTGAGATATACTCAGAAAGTTCTCTATGAAAGAATGTATCACTTCACCTGGTGTCTTTGGCTTGCATTGGATTTTAACTTCACTGCTTTCTAACCAGCATTGATATGGGAACTGAATTCTAAGATATCTGGAAAGCACCAAGTTGGAAAAAAAATGTGTAAGGAAAAGTTTGTACTGAACAAACACATTATCTACTGGAGGGCAGAGGGAGTTCTAATTTCTCCCTGATTCTCAAACTATACAGAACCACGCAGAAGCTTCTACAGACTGAAAATGGGTAAACCTTTGTGCCTCTCAAAAAGTTTGCTTACCAGGATCCCAATCCAGAAGTAAATGCCACTTTGCACAGTGACGGTGAAGCTTTGTTGAGCTGCTGTCAGGGCAATGCCAAAGCTCACATGGGTAACTCCCAAAATGATCTGCATGATCTGAAGGAAAAAAGAAAAGAGGGTGCAAGTAATATATTTAGATATCTAAAGCATTAGCACCACGATCTAACAAATCCAAGGCGTATTTTGTACTATGCAATCCTAAATATGGCAAAAGTTTTAATGAGAAATTTCCTACAAAATCAAGTTTTTCCTCTATTAGAAAGAGTATTTTGGATAAGACAGCAATATAAAAAAGGGAGGGGAGAAATGAAAATCACACTCCGAAATATAAATAAAACCAATACCATCATTTCAATTAAATGGTTAATGATTAACTCCTTAAATATGTTCTTGGGATTTCAGTACAGATGATTTGCAGGGGCTGTAGCTGGAGAGAGACCATCCAGTGCTCTCTTTGTGCTGCTCCCTCCTCCTCCTCCTTTGGCTTTCCTTTTTTTAAAAAAATACAATCCTCACTTTAAAAAATAAATAAATGTAGAGTGAACTTTGAGTATTGGTTAAGGAAAACCAAGCCATTAAGAGGAGTCTAGCAATACTAAATCCTTTAGGGATGCCATGCTAAAAAGTAGAAGTTTGTCTCCAAGGCCCTCCAAAACCAAAAATCTTTCTAGCTTTGCAAGGAGTCCAAGGTGGTTCTTATATATCTGATTACCAACAAACCCAATAGAAGTAGTACAATAGCAAAAATATCTGCTAAAACCATATTAACACAAAAATAACTGTAATGTCTTTGAGGTATAAGCTTCTTATTTAGTGATTATGCAAAAAATTCTATTAGAATAGAACTCGGGAATGGGGAGAGGAAGGATTAATCCATGTTTACCCTCTACATAAGGAACTCCCAATAAAAATTTGTGTACTTTTTGGTCACTAGCATAATCACATAAAAATGAAACGCTGTGATTCTACTTATATAATTCAATTTATTAACAGGTCTTTCTTGAACGGTCTTGAGGACCTGAGTTGTCTGACACAGAGAAATGCAGAGGCCTTCACAGAATTTGGGCTTACTTGGACAAATCTAGAGGGCCTTACCCCAATCACATTGAGCAGAGTATTCTTGATCTTTTTGTTATGGGTTAGTAGGAACTTAGATGCTGCAGAAGCAGAGCCAACCACTCTGACTGTAGCTGCCAGTGTTGGCAGAGAACCTGTCTGTGGGACTGTTTGAGTGATGATCCTCACATTTCCATGCTCTGTCACACTGCTGTCCATTTCTGAAGAAAACCAAATTGAATTGAATTGAATTCTTTATTGTCATTGTATGTATATACACAGTATATACACAACAAAATTCACATAACACCCAGAGACCAGACTCAACATGCACACACACACATGACAATCCCCAAACACCTCCCCACCCGCCAAAATTCCCTGCCTCCTAAAAACACACAAGCATCCACACAACAGACCAAGTAATACTGTCCAACAGCTCACTGATGGTGGTCCTTAAGTTCATTGTTAAGTGCAATTATAGCTCTGGGATAAAAACTATTCAGAAAACTTGTGGTCCGAGTTTTAATGGTACTGTATCTTCTGCCAGAGGGCAACAGTTCATAAAGATTGTAAGCAGGGCAAGAAGAGTCTCTGAGAATGTTGTGCAACTTCCTCAAACAGCGAGGTGCAAAGATGTCATCCATAATAATGCATAATTAGCACGAGCCAAAATGAATGTGTTCCAGTTTATAAGAATCCTGGTGAACCTGGATCTGTTTGATTCAAAATGAATCTGTCCAATTCAAAAAATAGTGAATTTCTCCCCCCCCCCAACATTATATTTGATACGTTATACTACTTTCTAGCCTGGTGCCTTAACCACTGGAACAAACTGGCTCAGATTCCAATTAACTAGTATTCCAATAAATGTTTCACAAATATTGTTAAATGTCTATGGAGATTCTCAGTCATCCAAGTCATGGTTGTCCCAAAGGTGCTTTTTCAAGAGGCATCTGGACTTTCTGTTTTTTCTTTGAAGACTTTTCTCTTTTCATTCAAGAAGCTTCTTCTTCGTGAATGAGAAGTGAAACGTCTTCAAAGAAAAAAACAGAAAGTCCAGATGGCCTCTTGAAAAAGCACCTTTGGGACCAATATTGTTAGCAAGCCTAATACTGTCCCCCATCCTATATCTGTTTGTTTGACTTCTATTTCTAAGAATTTAACACTAGTTTTTATTAAATACAGTTTTGATATTTTTAGCCTATTTATCTAACTGTACCTAGATCATTTTCATTTTTTAAAAAAGGGGTATATTAATTTTTGCATCATTCACAAATTTGGTAAGCATTTCTTTTACTATTTATCAAAGAAGTCATTGATAAGAGTGGAGAAGAGTGGTAGGTCAGGTACTGAACTGACATCCAACTTAATAAGCCACTTCAGTTTTGCCACTAATTGTCTATCTAAAGAAGAAGCACCAGCTTCATTAAACCATATAAATCACCAGCTGATTACTTTTAGGAATGATTGATGCTTCCAATCAAAGGTTTTATTGTATAATTTTTTGCTGCATTTATAGGAATCCAGAGAGTTTCAATATTTCATTATTTTTCATGTGTAACTTGACCCACATCCTTCATATCATATTCAGAAGGCCTCTATCTGGAAGTTTAAAAGAATTACAATGTGTTTCCTGACCCACTTATTAATGATAAAGCAAACCAAGTTTTTAGAAAGAATATTTTCTATTTCTTCCTCTTTAGGAGTTTCATGTTTCATTTTGGGGGGGGCATTAAGGAAAAATGCTCCAGTCAACCTGTTCCTCGTGTATGTAAATTGCTTAATTCATTCTTGTGTTGTACAACTGAAAGGAAATAAAAATAGCAGCATATAACTGGAAATGTGGCAGAACTTTAGGGTCGACCTGGAAGAGATGCTATTAACACAAAGAGCAACTACATGAATGGACTTTTCAAAGCAAATAGCAAGACCCAATCCAGATGGACAGCCTGGGTGGGGAATAGAGGACCCCACCAGTGTCCCAAAGTGGAGCGGACCTCACATCTGAGGATGGGATCTCATCTATCTTGGTTCTCCATAATCAGCCTACCAACGGCCTTGCTGAAAAAGTCCATCCTTGAGGACAAATTGCCAAAATTGAAATTCCAGCCTGGATACCTGTGTGCAGAACACGGAACCCTTTCCCTGTTCAACTGCCAATACCACCGGAGCCTCTGCACTTGCTGCCTCCTCTGAAGAAGAGGGCAACTGAAATCTGTACTATTTCTCCCACTATACTCTTGCTAATAATAATAATAATAAAATCGAATAAAGAAGATCATAACTGAATGTTTTGGTCTGACTCGGCTTTGCCTGCAGGGAAGCAACTCGCTTCTCTGACCCCACGTAGTTTCTTGTTTTGCACTACGCCCGCTCCTTCCTCCCACCGAAAAACGCACCGCCGATCTGTAAGGAGCCGGGGGAGACACTCACCCGCGGGAGGGTCGCTTCTTCCCTTCTATAAGCTTGCAGTCCTTGGCCGGCACTTGCCGCAGACTCACAACTCGTTCGTTCCCCGCGCCGGCTTCCCTTTCCCGAGACCAGGCGGCTGCGGGCGGTACCCCCTCGCTGACAGTTTCGCTCGCACCGCTTTTCCGGGAAAGAAAAAACGGAACGGAGGTCAGGAAACGCCGAATCTCGGCTCTGCGCGCGCGTAAAGAGGTTGCTTTGTTGCTTCCCAGCTCCGTAGTTGTTCCGCGGCGGCTAATTTGGAGACATTTCTCAGAATGGTCGCTAATGTAGCGTCGCCAAAGATTGTAACATACCGGTAAAAGAGGAGGAGGAGGAGGAGGATGCGAGAAGCAGCTGCTCCGATTGAGAAATGAGTTTATTCCTAAGAAAAGTGTATCTGCTATTTTAGGGAAATGTTTTACATAAAGCGTTGTACATTATGATTCTTGATTCTTAACGAATGTATCTTTTCCTTTATGTATGCTGAGAGTATTTACACCAAGACAAATTCCTTGCGCGTCCAATCACAGTTGGCCAATAAAGTATTCTATTCTATTCTATTCTATTCTATTCTATTCTATTCTATTCTATTCTATTCT